GAGGACGTCCCAGCCGCCCGCACTTACAGACTAACTGGCGGGCGCAGTAAGTCGGCCACATGGGGCTGAAGCCGGTGGCCGCTGGAGGCCCGCCGCTGAGGCTGCGAGCAGTCTGGTCTCAGAAAATTAACTCCAGATAGCCGATGGCTAATGTACAAACTGCACCTGATACAGCCCCGCCGGGTGTCAGGAGGCCGAGGCGGGAGAGTCCCAGAACTGAGGCCAGCTTGGGCAACAGAGTAGGAGAGCGCTGGCCTAGCATGTGTGATGCCAGGTTCTGTTCCCCAGACAGACAGACAGAGGGACGGACGAAAAGGTAAATAAATCCAAGATTACGTGTAGAAATAAAGCTTCATGATTTTTTTGAGGGGGGATCTGATTTATTGAGCTCATCCCCAGCCCTACTATATTTTTTACTTTGAGACAAGGCATGCTGACTTGCCCGGGCAGGACGGGAACTTGCGATGCTCTTGCCTCAGTCTCTCTCAGGGCTGGGATTACAAACATGTGCCTGTGGTTGAAAACGTGGTTTTTAGTTAACACAAAAAACTGGATGTGTTTATTGAGTACCACGTGGTGCTTCAATAAACATGTGCACTGTATGATGTTCAAATCAGAGTAAGTGTATCTCTAACTATGCATCATTTCATCTAACTTTTTCAAATATACAATAACTAGGCAGTGTATTATTAAATTACACCAAAAGCATGTTCTTCATCTAATGGAAATGGATTTTATCAAAATTTAAAGGTTTTTTTTTTGTTTGTTTGTTTGCTTTTGTCATCAGAGGACATTGTCAAGAAAGCAGAATCTTGGCACAGCAGTACGCACCTATAATCCCAGGACTCAGGAGGCTGAAGCAGACAGATCGCCAGGAGTTCAAGGCCAGCCAGGGCTACAAAGTGAGTTCAAAGCCACATTGAACTACATAATAAAACTGTGTGTTCAAAAAGGACAAAAAAAAAAAACAAAAAGGACAAAAAAGGGAGGCGGAGGAAGAGAAGAAAGAAAGTAGGAAGCTGGCGGGCAGACTAACTACTGCTTGCCAGCTTGTAACACCTGGAGGAACTGAATCAGCGCTGCGAGTGGAGGCTGCTGCCAGCAGCATGAGAAAGGAGAGGTGCAGAGGAAGAGGCTGTGCTGCGTGCGGCTCCGGAGAGGCTGTCGCGCCGGGTTCTGGCTGTGAACTGGGCTGTTACTGGCGCAGGAGCTCAGGATCACCTGTCACTGCGGGTGCTGCGGCTCTTCAGAGGGGCGCTGGTCCTTGCTCTGCGCGCCGCCTCCTGGCTGCAGGGCAGAGCCGTCCCTCTGTGTCGGTCCTTCATCCCACCGACAGACTTTCTAGCTTCGGCCCCTGACCTCTGGGCCTTCCCAGAGCAGATCCTTGAAACAGATTCGGTGAGACGCTGTCGTGGGCACTAGGCCTCCAGCTGGACTCAGGAGGACACTGCCGTGGGATCCCGGCCCTCCGCTGGATTCTCTGGGTCTCTAGTGCGCGGCCAGATTTCAAGCACTCCTTTGTATTTGACTCTCCGGGTAAATATAATAAACTAATCTTATGAATTATGTGTCCTGGGGCGTTAAATTGTTTCCCTTGCAAACCCTGACTACAAAAACCACCTAAGAACGGAGGAAAATTCTTGCATGTCATATACCTAAGGTTTAATATCCTGAGTATATAAAGCACCCTTATAACTCAGGAAAAACAACCTAATTTTTAAAATGGACAAAGAACTCTTACATACTTTTCACACAACTGTAGTGAAGCCATTACAAAACACATGGAAGTTCCTCAAAAAATTAAAAATAACTCAGGCTTGGTGGCACATGCCTGTAATCCCAGCATTCCAGAGGCTGAGGCAGGAGGAACGCTCCAAGTTTGAGGCCAGGCTGGGCTACATAGTGAGTTCAAGGTTAGCCTGACCCTGTCTTAAAAATGACCACCACAACAAAATTAAAAATGAACTACCAGATGATCCAAAAATATTTCCAGGGCCAGGGCGATAGTTCAGCAGAATAAGCACTTGTCTGGCAAGCGCAAGGTCCTGAGTTCAATTCCTGGTTCCCTCCCCCCAAAAAAATTCAAAAAAATATTTCCAGAAGAATTAGAAGTACAATCTCAAAGAGATGTCACACTGTCTGTAGCATTATTGAAAATATTCACAGTAGCCAAAAGGGGGCAGCCAATCTCCATTCAAATGAAAGGATAAACCTTAGCTGCGCACAATGTGCTATTCAGCTTTTAAAAAGGGAGAAGTCAGTGGTGACAAATGCCTGCAACACCAGCACTGTTCTAGGCTGAGGTAGGAGGATCACAAGTTCAAGTCCAACCTGGACAACTTCGTGACTTAGGAGATCCTGTCTCAAAAATCAAAAGTGCTGGGGATGCATCTTAGTGTGAAGTTCCTGGGTTCAACCCCCAGTGCCACCAAAAACAATCAACAAATGAAATGAAAAAAGTTTAGCCAAAAAGGAAGAGGGTACATTCTTATCCAAAAATAAGACATACTAATGGCCAACGAAGACATGAAAAAACGTCGAGAACTTTTAGTCACTGAAGAAAGGCAAATCAAATCCATAATGAAATAGTATGTCACACTCCACTAAAACGGCTGTAATAATGTTTAAAACCCGAACAACATAAATCATGAAGTGTTGGCCAGGCCAGGCTGTGGAGAAGCTGGCGCCTCGAACGCTGCTGGTAGGCAAGCGAGCCGGGCGGGCGGCGCGGGCGGCAGGCAGGGTTCCGGCTCCCGAGCAGCTGCACGGGGCGCTGGGGCCCAAACTCCACTCCTGAGCACACGCCAGGATGCAGCCGGGCGGGCGGAGGCTGGAGGGAGCCAGCGGCAGTTTCTTTCCAGGGTAAGCAAAGTGTTTTGGAAGCAGAGGTAAGGGCGGCACAAGGCGAGGACAGCCAATGCTGCTGCGCTGCTCGCTCCAGGACGACTGTCACGTCAGCCTCGCCGAACCATCGGAAGCACAGATTAACAGCACTTCACCAATGCTGTATACGCTAAGGCCACGATTACACAGGACACAGCAGAAGCTAAACTCCAGGTATGAAGGAGGCCTAAAGAGTGCGACAGTGAAACAGACATTATAATCTTGGAAGTTAGAAATTACCTGGTTATTTAGAATAAATCACCGGCATCACCAATACACCCAGCTTAGTTGTTTCTGTTTGTTTTAATTTTTTAAATTTATTTATTTGCGGAACCGGGGATTGAACTCAGGCCCTTGCGCTTGCCAGGGAAGCGCTAATTCCACTGAGCCATCTCCCCAGCCCTGTTTGTTTTTAAACAAAAAAAAAAATATGGAGTAAATGCGTAATAAGCAATGAATGTTACTTCCTTAAAGATATTGATAAAAAAAAATTGGGGCTCAGAGACTGATCCTGGGGCTCCTGCCTATTTCTTCTGGAATGTTCTGGAGTACTAAGTAAAGGCACCGTTATTTTCTCTCCTTCTTCGCTGCTGTTTCAAGACTTGTTTGTTCTCCCTCTGCTGGCTAATACCACACTCACACATTTCAACACACTAATGCACGCTAGGGCTGGGGTCGTAATCTAGGGCTGGGGTCGTAATCTAGGGCTGGGGTCGTAATCTAGGGCTGGGGTCGTAAGCGGTCACCACTCACTGAGCGCCTCCTGCACCCTGAATACAGCGGAAGGAAGACTGAGCCTGAGCAAACTCGGCAGCTACCACAGGGCCCTGACACACATTCCTGCACCACGTTTATGTACCACAAACTAGCTGGCGAGCGAGGGTAGTGCAGCTAAGTCCGCTCACAGGCGGCCTCATTTAATCTGAAAGCCCTGCATGGCACTAGACAGTGGAGTTCGCAGCTGGAAAGGCTGCGGCGGAGTCCGAACTTGGTTCAGCCGCCACGGAAGGGCCGGCAGGCGCGGCTGGGCTGCAGCCCCTGGGGCGGCGACGGCGGGCGGGCTGGCACGCACTCCCGGGGTTCAGCCCCAGCACCCCTCGCAGCTGCGGGCAAGCGCGTCCGTCAGGGCCTGAGCCGCACACGGCCGGATGCGAGAGCGACGCAGAAAGCCCGGCAGCGCCAAGCGGACGGTCCGGACGGGGGCCCGGGCTGGCCTCGACCCGCGGCGAGCCTCCCGCCCGCCGCCGCCGCCGGGGCTGGCATCCCGCGGGGCGCCCCAGCACCCGTAAGAAAAGGCGCGCCCGCCGGCAGGGTTTCCCTCGGGGCAGCCCTGGGCGGCGCCGGGCTGAAGCCTCGCGCGGAGCCCGACGGAAGGGCGCCCGAGAGCTCACGCTGGGCCTGCCCGCCCTCCTGCTTCGACACCGCCACGTTCAGAATGTCAGGGACCGAGCAGGGCTCCGCGGCGGGCCAGACACAAGGAGCGCAGAAAGCACCGGGCAGGGAACGGGCCACCCTCCCCGCCCGGTCGGTCGCACCCGACCCGCCCAAAAGGGTTAACCGGGCGGCCGCCGGCTAACCCCGCCCCGGAAGTCCCGGCCTCACGCGTATTCACTTCCGCCTTCCCAAAGGCCGCTACTCTCGCGAGACCTGGACGTGCTATGTGACCTGGGCTAAGCGGAAGTTGGGCCTCTTTTTTGTGGCTCCTGGGAGGCGAGCGGTAGCTTCGTCATGAAGGTAGGAAGTGGCTGTGCGTGTGGGGCTAGGTTTGGGGTATTTGGACCGGGCCCCAGAACGCAGTGGTGCCGCAGTCCCAGCACCCCAAGGTGCTGGCTTTAGGTGGACGAGGGTCTGAGGCAGCGTCAGGGCCGCTGTCCCGGGGCCGGAGGCCCGTGGGAGCGCGGATGGCGGGCGATTGCGCCTGCAGGCGCGCCCGTGCCGGATCGCCATGGTGGCCCCGCCGGGGCCGCCGCGTTCTCGGCCTGCGGCGGGCCCGCCTGCCTCTCGGGCCCCTCGCCGCTGCGCCGGGGCTCGTGCTCCGACACCGAGGGTTGCGGAGCGGCCGCGTGGGAAACGCGCGGGTGAGGTGCCGGCGCGCAGTTAGCGGGGAGAGAAGTGTCCCGGCTTCTGTGGCCGGGAGGGTGTTACTTGCGGTGGGACTGATGAGCGTGCTGCTGCCGTCTCGTAACTCCAGAAACTTTCAGTAAGCTAAGAGGCAAAACCCGACTTCCCTCCCTTCAGGCCGTTTATCTTAGCTTTTAACCCTGTCCCCTTAATCCTTAGCTGAACATCTCCTTCCCAGCCACTGGCTGCCAGAAACTCATCGAGGTCGATGATGAACGCAAGCTTCGCACGTTCTATGAGAAGCGCATGGCCACAGAGGTGGCCGCTGACTCCCTGGGTGAAGAGTGGAAGGTGGGAGCCGCCTGTCGAATTATGTGTCCGTTTTAGTGAGACGCAGTGAGCGTCCTCGGTAAATGGGCTTGGGATGGAATCGTTTTCTGCCCGCGTGAAATTCACCTGGGACTGCCACCTCCAAGCATCTCATGGGATTATGTGGATTAAACTAGGAAATTAGGAGTAGGAAAGTGCCGCTTGTAGTGTTTCCATTAGCTCCTGCTCTCAGGAAACGCCAAACAGCTGGCCTGATTATCCCCACGGGGCTTTAAGAAAGGATTGTATTTGATCGTTATTTAATTTATTAAATATCCATCGTCTTAGTGTTGAGTAAAATACTGTTGTCTAAACTGAATTAAAGGAAATTGGATGGGGCCGGGGAGATGGCTCAGTGGAATAAGCACTTGCCTGGCAAGTGCAAGGGCCTCAGTTCAATCCCTGGTTCCGAAAAAAAAAAGGAAATTGGAAATGTAAGCCCAGAGAGGTTCTCCCGAGAACCAGTCCGACGCTTAGTAGTTTTGGAATGGAAACGGCAGTAACTGCCCTTGTGCACACGCAGGGTTACGTGGTCCGAATCAGCGGTGGGAACGACAAGCAGGGCTTCCCCATGAAGCAGGGCGTCCTCACCCACGGCCGTGTGCGCCTGCTGCTGAGTAAGGGACACTCCTGCTACCGACCCCGGAGGACCGGGGAGAGAAAGCGGAAATCCGTCCGAGGCTGCATCGTGGACGCCAACCTCAGCGTTCTCAATCTGGTTATTGTAAAGAAAGGTGAGGCTTGTGCTCCTAACGTTCGATTTCTGTCGATGACAACTTACAAGTGTAGTTAAGTGATCGGCCCACCTTTATAATGGAAGTTACTGAACTAAAATGTTTTTATTTATATTTGTCTTTTCTAAGGAGAGAAGGACATTCCTGGGTTGACCGATACTACCGTTCCTCGGCGCCTAGGGCCCAAAAGAGCTAGCAGAATTCGCAAACTTTTCAATCTGTCTAAGGAAGATGATGTCCGCCAGTATGTTGTCAGGAAGCCCTTGAACAAGGAAGGTAAGAGGAGTTGTGCTGCTTCATGTTACTGGTGTTGTGTGCACTTAGGTATTCCTTTGGGGGTAAGGGGCGACAGGAAAAATGCGAAGTCATGAGACACTGGAAGTATAGTAAGGCAGAGGAAGGGGGTGTACAGTTCACCACCAGTGAGATGTGTAGAAGCAGGGAAATGTAGTAGGGTGGATAGCACGTTTGGTGTTCCTGAGGAGGTTGGGGAAGGTTCTTTGGGTTTTTGTTCTTAGGACTGTTGTGACTTATACCCGTAAGTGGTATCTTGGTTTATGACATGCTGTTTTATGACCTGGGGGAGATGGCTGTGTGGTTGGCCATCTCATGTGGTGCTTCCTAACAGAAGCAAAACCTTGCCAGACACTTCGAAGCAAATTGGAATCATTTGCAAACTGAAGCATTGCTGTGTTCAGGGTGGACTGTGTGCGCACTAGGTTCGTTGCAAGCACTTGAACACCTGTCAGGAGCCAGGAGCTGGCAGTGATGGTCCAGGGAGTTCAGTTCCTGCCCTTAAAAAGCATACATGGCAGCGCTCTAGAGATGTGATCAAGCAGAAGGTCATTTTAAAATGGTGCTTGCCTCCGTAGTGGCTGAGCATTTGCTCTTAGAGCTTCAGGAAGTATGAAGTTTCCGTATCCCATTGCACCAGTAACCCATAAGCAGTTAGAGTACAAAGCAGAAAGAGTGAATGAAGCCGCATGTTAGTGTTTCTCTGAATTGACAATTGACGAGACCTGCCATAGGAAATAGATGCATGCCTGTACGGAAACCTCGCCGTGGCAGGTGGACGATGCAGGTACTGCCTCACATACTTAACCTAATGCCACGGGCTTGCCGTGTGTTAAGGGTGATGAATCAGGTATTTTTCAGGATTTTAGTTTTTCTTACAACAGCATGTAGCTTACCTCAGATTGTTGTTGTTGGGGCAGTATTAAGTAGGACAATAGTTCAGATTTGGTTTAAAATGCCTCTGGCAAATTTTCATGGGTGCTACCAGCTTGAGCATGTCTTAGCACGTGAGGTGTGGCTCCTTGCCCACCATTGGGTCGAAGCCAGGGTCATGTGGACATGGAGAACATTCCATCCCAGGGAGGTTTTCGAGGACTGAGTTGTCTGAATTCTCAGGTAAAAAACCCAGGACTAAAGCCCCCAAGATCCAGAGACTTGTTACTCCACGTGTCCTTCAACACAAACGCCGCCGTATTGCACTGAAGAAGCAGTGCACTAAGAAAAACAAGGAGGAGGCTGCAGAGTATGCTAAACTTCTGGCCAAGAGAATGAAGGAAGCCAAAGAAAAACGCCAGGAGCAGATTGCCAAGCGACGCAGGCTGTCATCTCTGAGAGCTTCTACTTCCAAGTCTGAGTCCAGTCAAAAGTGAAATGCTTCAGTAACAAATAAATTAGATGTGACCTCGTATCTCCTTTTATTGATGTTTCACGGTGATGTAGCTAGCGAAGGCAGGCACACACAGGCGGGCCCTCCTGGGGAGATGGCTTGCTTAGGAGGGAATCCTTAGGCTTGCATCCCTGGCTGTGTTCACAGCCCTGTGATCTTCTGCCTCTCCTGTTGAGGTACCATGCCCAGCTTTAGGAAAGAATAGCACGAAACACTTCTGAAAGGCATGGAATATAGGGAAGATAAATGACTACCATTTTTAAGCTCCAGGTTTGTTACAAAAACAAAATACATTGTGATACAGGAAAGTGCCCTCATGGAGGTGGATGTCATGTTTTTCTACAGAGGATGTAATGGAGAACCTCTTCCATAACAAATTATAAACACTTTCATAACAGTGCAGATGTATTATATACTACTAGCAATTTTTTGTCTTGGAAACAGTCTCACTGCAATTAAGGCTGGCTGTGAGCTTTATTAACCCTGGCTGGTCTCAAACAATCCCACCTGCCTCAGCCTCCTGAGTGCACTGGGGTTATGGCTTGTACCACCACATCCAGCTTGATAGCATTTTAACTGGTAAACTGGACCCAGCTGTGGGGGCAGACTATAAAATTCGGGACGGCTATTTGTATGTTAGACATTTGCCCAGCAAGCAGTGGACCCAGTGTTCGTTCCTTTGTACTCCATGAAGGATCTGTACCAGTAAAAAATGGATGCCAAAGGGCTGGTCAGATAGCTCTGCAGACTAAAGCCCCTTAGGTAGACAATGGGTCAGGGATTTTGATCCCTGGCCTACCATAATTAATCCCTGTGTTTGGCAGGTAGAAAAACTAGGATTGCTGTGAGTCAAAGCTGTGCAGTGAGACCCTGTACTAAGTACATTAAAAAAAGGTGACTGCAGTGATCTCAGTAACTCTAGAATTATTTTCCTACAATAAATGTGAATGCCTCATACCTTTAAAAGTTGACACAGCTTTTAGCTTTTTTTTTTTTTTTAAATGTATTTTTTAAATTTATTTGTGTGTGTTTTTGTGGCCAGCTCAGCCCACCAGGGGGCGGGGCTGGCTAGCATGTGGTGCTGGGGGATTGAACCGTGGTCCCTGTGCTTTGCTCAGCTTGTTCTAAGTAGGTGCTTTAGACCACTGAGCCATCTCACCAGCCCTAGCTTTTCAATGTATAAATGTTCATTACACATTTTTGTAAATAGGAAATACTCAGTTCCACTTAGGAAGACAACAGCAAAATAAGATTGGAATTCTACACACCAAAAAAGTTTACAAGAGAAACACAAGAAATTTAAGATTTTTAATTTTATTCGGTCTCAAATTTTTAGATGCAAGGTATTCAAAACTTGGGTGTTAAGCTGCAAAAATATTCTTTATATAGTGGAAAAGGTTACACTGAAAAGATTGCATATAATTTTTAACAAATCATTTAGTACTCTGAATCATGATTGCATGGTCAGATTAAATGATGAAATGTTGACAGCTATAATTTTTAAAAGGTGATACACTATGGAAGCAATTTATGTATAAACATTCTTTTATGACATGATACACTCTACTATAGATCTCTATTTTAAAAAGGCTGATGACTAAATGAGCAGTCTTAACTGACAGTGTAAATTGAAGAACCTGAAAAGGAGAGCTGGAGCATTGCTTGATACCCAGAGAAGACAGGACTGACATTACAGCAGGGATAACTTGCCCCAAGACTGGCATCTGCATGATTACCGTAAGTGCGTATGTTCAACAGCCAGCATTTTCAACCGTGTAGGGAATAAAGGAAACAATGTTCTAGAGGGTATTTTTAACAAAAAGCATGACATGTCAAAGTGAGCATGATTTTCTTAAACCTAGTAATGAGCTCAGTGTTACTCTGAAGACTTGATTCAACCTAAAAATATTTACAAATACACATTTTTACTTAACATACTAGTTAAATATACATGAGTAAAACTTCTGTATGCAGTGCAAGTTTAACCCACAGGGTTTTGTTATCTTTTAGATAGGGTCAGACTGTTGCAGTTCAGGCTGGCCTCAAACTCAAGGCGATGATCCTCCTGCCTCAGCCTCCCTAGTGATGGGATTACAGGTGTGTGCTACCATGCCCAGCTACCCCACAGATTTTTAAGTGACCAACTGCAACAATTTACATGCCTGAACAAAGATTTGAGGACTAAAGACAATATACATAATAGCACTTTAAACATAACTTACAAATAAAGTGTAAATTATGAAGTTTTATTTCATTTTAGCTATGTGACTCCAATTTTAAACATTGCAAATTAACGTAGTGGAAAAGGATGGCAAGAAGTACCTAGATACTCAAGATAACTCAATGCAAAATAATACATATAAAAGCTGAAGATATATATTAAATTTGGAGGGAAGGCAGGTATAATGACTGGTAATTGTAAGCTTACTATGACTTCAGTAGTCACTGATAGGTAGTAAGAGCCCTACCACAAAACTGTTGGAACACGCGGTCTAGGATTTTAATAAATATACACAACACACACCTACAAAGCCCCACAGTGACATAGCCTCTCACAAAATAGTCGCTCTCGTAGCTGAGATGCCCCAGTTGCTGGGGCAGAGCTTTCTCTGCCATCCCGGAAGCCAGCAGCCTCGCAGACAAATGAATGCTGCGCACTAACACGGCCTCTTTATCCTCCCAGCCTCCTACAGACTGTGAAACCCAAAAGCGGTTTTCAAGAGGCAGAGCAGTAGTTTAGGAGTTGAGTCTTCAATGTTGAGGACAAGCTTGAGTATTTCCACAGTGTTGTACACCTTGGAGATGATTCAGCATGAATTAATTCACTGTATGTTGTCCCCAAGCGTACTTCATTTCCGTTTCCACCAATTCTCATGGCTGAAAAAACCCAGTTTCCAGATCAACTCCCCTGCCCTGTGCCAGAATGGGGACAACCCTTATCTACACGACAGGTGCTCCGAAACACTTCCTACACCACTCCGCACTGCTACTTGGCGGGGCGTCGATTTTCCGTAACTTTTCAAGAATCTGTGGAGACAGACTATTGTACGCAAGTCCATATTCATTGTCAAAAGCCTCTGAAAGACATTTTCAAAAATGCAGTTGTGATTGTTAATAAGTAAAGTGCATTTGAAAGTGATGTAGTCAAAATATGTGTGTTTCCCTTTTCCCCTGTGTTGCTGGAGATGGAAGCCAGAGCCCTGTGCACACAGGGCAAATGCTCTATGGCGGAGCCACATCCCCAGCCCATATGTTTCAAATACATATTTAAAAGGCCTCTTTCCAAAGGCAGGCAGTTACACATACCAGCCGCAATCCTTCCAAATCCTTCTGTTTTGGGACCTGAACCTGGAGCCTCATGCATGACAGGCGAATGCTCTACCTACCACTGGGCTGGGCTATACACCCTGCCCAGCAGCTACTATTTTTTTTTTTTTTTTTTTTTTCCCTTTCGGTTTTCTGAGACAGGGTCTTGCTATACAGCTCAGGCTGGCTTTTGTTTTGTTTTGTTTTGTTTTTAATATATTTGGTACAGGGTCTCACTATGCAGCTCACAGTGATCCTCCTGTCCCAGCCTCCCGTGCACTGGGATTATAGGTGTGTATCACCACGCCACGTCTCAGGTGGCCACTCGGGGCATGCCTGGCATGGCATAGGTTGCCTACGTAGGTGCTTAAGACTGCTGAACTATCTCTGCGTCCCTCAGACTAGGTTTGAACTTGCAGCAATCCTCTTGCCTCAGGCTTCCAAATGCTAGGATTATAGGAGATCGCCACCGTGGCCACTATGCCAGCTACATTTTTAAAAAATTGCTTTAGAAAATAAAACTGCCAGGTGTGGTAGTGCACGCCTGTAATCCTATGAATTTAGAGGCTGAGCCAAGCTGATTTCTGTGAGTTGGAAGCAAGCCTGAGCTACGCAGTGAGTTCAAAGCCAGCCAAAACTGCACAGTGAAACCCTGTCTCCAAACACCTAAGAACCCCTTTTGTTGGGCCACTAACCAACTTACCAATGTCAATATTTTCTCTTCCAAGAGATACTAGTGATAAGAAGAGGATTTCTCTGTATAGACTCCTACAAAACAAATATATTTTAGAAGTTAATGAGTAAACAGCATAAAAATATATGTACAGAGATGCAGGGTTTTTTAAAATGCTGAAAGTAGATTTCAGCTCTGTAGACAGGTAATAGTTTTACACCATATAATTATCCTTGCCTTCTACTATACTAGAGGTATATGAGGTATTACGTTTAGCTGGGTAAAGGGCGCAATAAAATTTGTGTACTATTTTTGCACCATTGAGAGTCTCTTTCAAAGAGAATCTCTTCCAAATTTTAAATTTTAGTGGGGTGTGCTGATAGACCCCCTATACTCTCCACTTTTAGAACCTGAGGCAAGAGGATCACAGTGACTTTGAGGCTAGCCTGAACTACATTATCAAGATCCTGTCTCAAAACAGCAAGAAAAACAAAATATAAAGCTGACCTCAGGAGTTGAAGGCCAGCCTGGGTTACATAGTGAATTCAAGGCCAGCAAGAACTACATAGTGAGACCCTGTCTCAACAAAACAGATTTACAGAAGGTAATACCAATTCTAATAAATCTCATGTAGCTTTCAGAAGGACGTAGTACGCCATTTCCAACATGTTTTTGCCTTTAAACCACTGGTCATGAAGCAGACTCTCTGGACTGTGGAAGTCATCTCCCAGCAGCTGGGAGTCGCAGGTGGATCCATCTATTTCCACAATCAACTCTCGCTCTATCACTTCTGAGATTATCTTCAAGGGTGCTGTTCTTGAGACTTTTAGACACCCTGGAAATACTAGTAATGTTTGAAAGGACTCGATCTTCCTTTCTGAAGTTTCTACTGCAAATTCACTTAGGCTGAAGTGGGAGGAGCGGTGATCCAAACATGCCAGCAACACTAATGAGAGGGTCAGACAGCTTCACATCCGTGGTCACTCTCAGCTTCTGTCTCTTTTCTAGGTCTACTTAGAATCCCTAGTACTTTAGGTCCAACAAGAAACACTGGATATCACAGGACCGTAACTAGTGGGGCACCGTGCTGACAAAGTCACAGAAGGTTGCGGTGAAGAGCAGGAGCAATGTTCGTGGAGTACGCAGCACCTGTCAGCTATCAATGACTTACCTTCCTACAGTTCATTCTACCAGACAGATATTTTATTATGTGTTTGTGTATTTAACAAAGAGAAGAAAAGCGACAGTACTAGGAGCACCAGCTAGCCAGGCAAGCACTCTACCACTGAACTACATCCCCTGCACTTTCTGAGACAGGTTCCTGCTAGACTGCCAGACTGGTCTCAACTTGTAATCCTCCTGCCTTAGCTGCCCGAGTAGCTGGGATTACAAGGGTGTGCCCAGCTGCAACCAAATTCTTAATCATGAAAGTGAGCAGCCCCAAGGGAAAGGTTCTGACGGTCACCTTTGTCTTTTCACGTCTGGCTTCACTTGCTCGGAGAGCACAGTGATAGGCTTGAGGACGTCGTTGTGCTGGATGCTCTGCCTGATGGTTTCCACTACATCACTCGCTGCTTGCTGTTCCTCAGACAGAAGACACAACTTCTTTTCAGAATCTAACAATCAGAACACAGTAAATAAGTTTTCCTCCCCAGTGCTGTCACTTTTTGCCTATTGAACATCACTTCTCTCTCGTTAATTATGTAACAATGTGCCAGCTAAAAAAAAATTTCTGCTCCTTTTGTTTTTGTTGAGTGATCGGTTTTTTGAGACAGGGTCTTGCTATGTAGTTCAGACTGAACTCACCACAACCCACCTGTCTCAGTCTCCCAAGTGCTGGGAATACAGGTGTGCGCCACCATGCCCGAATCTTCCTGCTCCTTTTTGTAGGAAACATTTGTCCCCTGCTCTTTCCAATTTTAAGCTTCCTCTCTGAGGATGAGATGTAAAAGCCTATAATCTAGCAGATATTTGTGACCATAAAGCAAGCTTTATTGATGGTAAAATGGACCTAATTAAAGAAGCCTAGGGGAGATGGCTCAGTAGAATAAGCACTTCCCTGGCAAGCGCAAGGGACTGAGTTCAATCCCCGGTTCCGTCAAAAAAAAAAAACATTGTTTTCCTGGGGACAACCCACTCAGGCCCCCCTCCTGTCCCTCTCTCAAATCAGGAGCTTGCTTTCTCTCAATAAACATATTCTGCTCATTAAAAAAAAAAAAAAGCCCTGACTCCCTGAAGAGACAAGCATTGCTAATCAGCCTAGAACTTTGTTTTCCCCTAACTTTTTAACTTGTAAATAAAAAATCATATATGGTGTACAATATGACTTGTAACATCTTCATGTGAGATCTTTTACAAAGCTTTTGTTATTGTCTATTAAAATGTCTATTTAATCCTAATTAAAACAAGAATAATTATAGAAAAAAAAAAAAAAAAAAAAAGTCATAAAAACTATTTAAGGGCCAAGGATACAGCTCAGTGGCACAATGCCTGCCTGGCAAAAGCAAGGTCCTGAGTTCAACTCCTGATACCAAAATGAAACAAAAAAATTTACCTTCAATATACCCAAATAAAGTTACAACTAAAGTTATTCTTCAACTAAATTGAGCCCTGATACAGTTGAGCAGGTCAGTACAGTAACAAACCAATGTGAATTAATTAAAAAGTTAAGAATAAAGCAAAATAATTTGGTTTGGTTTTCTCATATCAATTGTACTCTTTTTCACTCATTTTCCTTTACTAGATAATGAATGACTTTCATGAGTGGACTATACTACAACCACCACTGGCTTCTCCATTACTGTGAAGGGACACTTGAAGTGTGACACAGTTTGTTTCCTCCCCCACCCCCATCCCCTGCACCTCTCCTTCCCGGCTAAGGTGACGGGCACTCAGGCTGGGTCCTGGCCGCCTAGGCCTGCACACAGTCTCTGCCTCCCAGCATGCTGGATTGCAGATTTGTGCCAGAGTGCCTGGCTGGGTCCTGTCTCCAATTTTATTTTACTTACTAAAATTTCTCCAGGAGACATACAGCGGTTCTCCTGGCTCCTGGTGCAGGTTGATATTATCCCATAACAGCTGAACATACACAAGTTTGCTATCTTGGGACAGAGAGGACAGAGGAAGCTACAAGAGATCAATAGAAAATATCAGTATGCCAAACAGTAATTATCCAGGGATCTAACAAACTACATAAAACAGATGTGTTCTCTCACAACTGGACCTAAAATTCTAAACAAAAATTTAAAAATTTTACTACTATCTGAAGGCAAATGTTCTTTTTATTTTCTAACGTAGGTTTCTTCTTCCTTCTCCTCCACTCTTATCCCCATCCCCTTTCTCCTTGTGTCATGTGTGTGTGTGTGTGTGTGTGTGTGTGTGTGTGTGTGTTTTAGTGTTTACCCATTGCCTCATGGCCTCATCATTCTTCTGAGATACAGTGTCACTAACTCACTCAGGCTGTCCTGGGGTGATCCTCCTGCCTCAGTATCCCAAATAATGGCCATTATGATTGGCCTGACGTATAGATTTTTAGTCTAACTTTCAAGGATTAGACAGATGACTTGGTAACTGGCACTGAAGCCACATAAAAAGTTAACCATCCTTGGGGCTGGGGAGATGGCTCAGTGGAATGAGCACTTCCCTGGCAAGTGCAAGGGCCTGAGTTCAATCCCCGGTTCCGCAAAAAAAACAAAACAAAACAAAAAAAAAAACCACAAAAAATTAACCATCCATTATTAAGAAGTCTAAGTATAAATTTCTACTATCTTACCAAATAATTTTGTTTCAGCCACTCTACTCAAAATAATGAGGGGCCGGGGAGATGGCTCAGTGGAATAAGTGCTTCCCTGGCAAGCACAAGGTCCTGAGTTCAATCCCCAGTTCTGCCAAAAAAAAAAAAAAAAAAAAAAAAAAAAGACTGGGTTCAAAATAATGAGGTTCAAAATAATGAGTAAAATTATAATTATAATACTTTAAGGGGGCCGGGGAGATAGCTCAGTGGAATATGCACTTCCCTGGCAAGCGCAAGGGCCTGAGTTCAATCCCCAGTTCCACCAAAAAAAAAAAAAAAAAAAAAAAACCTTTAAGAGTGCACTGTGCCTCAGCTATGCTTGTGACTTGGTATTTGTCAGTATTCAGAATAATAAAAGACAACTGTACGCAGAGCCCTCTGACTGCAATGTAATCTGAAACCCTAGTGGAAGTGTAACTGGAGCCAAATCAGACAGCTGGACTGTGACATTAACTGTCACTCACGTACAAGGCATGTGACCTTACAGAAATCACCTAAGTTCTCTTAATTATATCATCTGAAAAACATAGATACGAGGAGTCCCTTCGATAAGGTTGTCGTGTGGCCTTCAGTAAGAGTATGACAGTTCAGAACCAAAAGCTCCCCTTTCTAGTTCCTATACCAGCCATACACGTGACCACAGACCCAAGTTCAGGGCACACCGATGCACGTGGAAATGCTACATACAGCTCAATGAGCTGTGTAAGGAAGACACACCTCTCCCCATCCCTTTTTCTCCTGACTGTTGACTGAACTATGCTTCTGAGACTCTGAAGATAGTGTCAGCTATCTTTGACCAACAGCAGAACTTGGATAAAATGGAAATCACACGCAGAGAAGCAAAAAGAATGTCAAGTCCCTGACACTCTACAACTGGTGGAACTGCTACTCGGCCTTTAATGTGAGCAGGACATAAACCCTGATCCTGTCCAGTGACTGGTTTTCATACACTCTCAGGAGCTTGAAGCCTCACCCTGAGTCTACCAAATCTAGTATAAAAATTTAATCCTGGGGCCGGAGAGATGGCTAAGTGGAATAAGCGCTTCCCTGGCAAGTGCAAGGGTCTGAGTTCAATCCCCGGTTCTGCCAAAAATAAAAAAAAACAATAAATTGCAAAAAAAAAAAAAAAAGTTTAATCCTACCTGTACACCTTCATTGCAATGTTTAGATGTAAGGATCAGTCCTGGCAAGTTACTAGGAAGGTCCAAACGTCTGAAATACCAAACAAGGTTCCAGAAAATGATTGGATGTTGGTCGATGAACAAGGAGGAATGAATCACCTGGTCGCCATCATTTTCTAGCAATGATTCGAGTTCTTTACGAAGCACGAGAGGACTCAAATAAGGCACGGAAACAGGAGAGGGGCTGGGCCTCTTCCCTAAAGGGTCCTTTTAACAAATACAAAGAGAAGGAGGCATTACCCACTTAATTTTGCATGCTTAACAGTACATTTCAATGAGATGTTTCTCTCTCCTATTAAAATCAATTACTACCAGATTCTGTAGTACAATATCACCTCAAACAGAAGCAAGCTGCTATACTGCCCTTCAATGACAAGAGAAATGAATACTACACACTTCAACGCACGCTGATAGTTTATCGTGCTTAATAACTCATGTATCTGACATGAGTTTCAATTTTTAGCATGAAATATTATTTCACATATTTTATGATACTAGAAAATGTGTGACCTTATCAAAGTTTTTTTCATGTTAATATTCTTTGTTTATGCCTTTTAAAGTTGACTGCAACAAAACTTAAGGAACTAAAGAACACAGTTTTTAATGCAAATGAACTCAAAAGCACAATGCCCTGAGTTTGATTCCTGGCACTTCCTCTACCAGAGCAATGAAGTAAGTAATGGAAAAAAAACAAACAAACAGACTTTGTAAGTTTATGACCAACTTATTAGCAAACGAGCACACCCTGCAAGTGCCCAGACTGAGGTCTGCATGTGCCGTTTCCCTCCCAGGGTGGGTTTCTCACAGCAAGGGCCACAGGTAGGCAGGTCTGGAAAATGAAGTATCTTGTGTAAGAAAGCAAGGAAACTTTAAACAAATTACAAAAATATTACCAAATCTTTGTGGGAAAAAAAGTATGATGAATTATTTGTGTAAGCTTCTAGCTGACCAAAAGATATTAGAATGATACAAACATCAGTAATAATATAAACTGCAATAGATTTCAACAAGGAAGTTTAAATTAAGAACTACATAGTAATACCCGAGGGCCCCAAACCACACGGGTTCTACTTGTTTTGAACATCAATAAACAAAAGAAAACTAAACATTTTTCTTGTCTTTCTAATACAGTATACGCCTGTAAGCAGGCGCAGGGGCCGGGGGTTCGATCCCCAGGCCTGCCTCGACGGCCCCACTGAGACAGCAATTGAGACTGGGCATGGTGGCACGCCTGCAATCCCAGCTCGTGGGAGGCTGTAAACAGGTGGATCACTAGGAGTCCCAATCTAATACTGTATAATTTGGATTTTTAGAAATCCCAATAGAAGACACTGGGGAGGTTTTCTATATAGATATATTTCATGTAACCAAGAAGAAATGACTAAATTACTATCATCATTTTATAGCTTCAGATGAATTACTTATCTAGACATTGGGAATATTAATAGTTGATGTCTTCTACTGGGAAGAACATAGTATCATTTATGAAACTGTCTTACAAAAATAAACAAATATCAAAAATTCTGAGTCTGATGTGATTAAGCTTCTAGATACAAATACCAATTTATAATTACAGTAAAACCTGATGAACTTTGCTGAACTGGAGTATCTAAATGACTGATGACTCAGTTTTTAATCAACAGATAAGGGAAGGAGAGTCTATTCACTTTTTTCAATCAGACTTCTGGGGTACATTTTAAATCATCTTCATCATAGAGAGTTTGTATCTGTTCATGATATAATGTTATGATTCGTGTCTAGTTGTCCCTCCAAAGCCTCACGCAGTCATGGGGTAGACTTCTAGAGTTTGTGACCAACTCATAATCCAGTGCTAGGATTATGGGTGTAAGTGCTGCTAGCATTATGGGGCAGATAACCTGAATGCAACGTAAGGGAGACATAGGTGCGCCCTGTTGCTGCTGTTGCCACTGCTCCTCCCACGCGCTCTCGCTGCGCTGCTGTTTTCCACCACCTTGAGGTGCTGCCCGCCCCTCCCTACCCCTATGTTTATGAAAATTTTGTTCCCATTTCTTTTTTTTCATTTTTTTTTTAACTTTTCCCCTCTTTCCCTTCCACCTCCCTTAACCCTTTCCCTCCCCATTTTAACATTTTTAGCACTTGGGAGGCAGAAATCAGGAGGATCACTACTAATGTGGGCTGTGTAGTGAGACCCTGAGCAAAAAAAGAAAATAAAAAAAAAAAACCCTTTTTTTAACCACTAAGAAGAATATATGCAGTGTATTATTTGTTGAAAAAAAAAAAAAAAAAAAAAAAAAAACAAAACCTAGTGTACATTTTGGTCCTTATTCACTTTTGGTTCCTCATACTAGAGAAACAATGTGGTATCTACACATGTCCAATTTATTTCGCTTATGAGTACGGAAGAGTCTATTGATTTAAAAAGACAAAATAAATTAAAAAAAAACCTAAAACATATACTATCCATTCCTCAGTTGATGGGCATTTGGGTTGTTTCTAAGATCTTGCTAAGACAAATTGTGCTGCTCTAAACACAGGTGCACATGTATCGCACTGGTATGATGTTTTTAATTCTGAGAAAATACCCAGGAGGGGAATAGCTGAGTCAAATGGGACCTCTAATCCTAGTTTTTTGAGCAATCTCCAGACTGATTTCCACACTGGTTGCACCAGTCTATGTTCCCAACAGCAGTGGAGAAGGGTTCCTTTTTTTCCACAGCCTCTCCCTCCAGCATTTATAATTGGTTCATCTCTTCTCTCTCTGTCTCTCTGTCTCTCTCTCTCTCTGTCTCTCTCTCTCTCCCTTTTTGCAGTACCAGGGATTGAACTCAGGACCCTGTGCTTGCCAGGCAGGCACTTATTCTACTGAGCTATCTCCTTAGCCCTGATTCAATTCTTGATGTTAGCCATTCTTTCTGGGGTGTAATGGAATCTCAGTGTTGTTTTAATTTACATTTCTTGAATGACCAATGATGTTGAACCTTATTTCATATATTTATTTGCCACTTGGGGGCCTGATGTTTTCAGTTCTTTATATGTTCTAGATGTTAATCCTTTGAAGGACAGTTAGCTAAAATGTTTTCCACGCTGAGGGATTTTTATATAACAGAGTACTACTCAGCTAGAAAGAAACTTGAGCCATTTATAAGGAAATAGATGTGATCAGAGTCCATAATTGTAAGTGAAATAAGCCAGTCTTGCATGTGTAAACATATATTGTCTCCTTCATGTAAGAAGCTGAAAGATTAAGACCCAAAATGCACTATATATGTGTATATATATATATATATATATTTTTTTTTTTTTTTTTTTTTTTTTTGCGGTACCAGGGATTGAACTCAGAACTCTCGCTTGCCAGGCAAGCATTTACTCTATTGCACTATCTCCCCAGCTAGATATTGTGAAATGGGAAGAAAATACTCAAAAGGAAAAAACTGGAATAGGGTAAAGAAGAAAGAATGAAAAAAACAAAAACAAAACCCACACACTCTGTGTGTGTGTGTATAAGATACATACACAACTAACTGCTATTAGGTGCAATGAAAGGACAGGTATGTGCCTATGCTGCTTGATCAACTTCTCACGCCTTACCTTGTATTATGAGCAACTTCTTTGACAATAATAATGCACAATGCACTGAACGTTGCTGCTCCTAAAATCTTGTTTTGAAATTTTATACCGTTATTATTTTTCTTCTCCGTAAAATAAAAATAAATAAGTAAAAATAAAACTCATGCTAAATAAGTAAATAAAAATAAACTGCTACTAACAAGGCATGGACTTTATTTCATCTTCACTCCTCAACTATGCCCCACTCTCACATGTGCTTGATACTTTCAAAACAACTGGAACTTTGAGTCAAGATTGCATAATTTGATGATACTGGTTTTTAGTATAACAGCATTATGTTATTTTTTCTTAAACCCTCAAAGATACATCCTGAGATATTTACAAATAAAATATAAGTTGTCTAAAACTTCCTTGAAAGCAAAGGGAAAGTGAATGAAGATTTTCAAAGGGAAAGTGAATTTCGATGAAAGCCCCCTTTGAAAGTTACTGAAGCTGGACAGGGATCCAGGGACTCGCTGGTCTCTATCATTTGTATCTGAACAAGTTTGATGTTGTCCACATTAAAAAGCTTAAAAGTTAATCTGTTTACAGGAAAAGGCTGATTCTTTTTATGCTGTTCAAATGAGTGTCCCTGAGAAGAACCACGACTGCTATCACCTGCACACGGGAGCAGGCAGCAGGACGACAACACGACGTACCGTGGCCTCCTGCAGGCTGCTTGGAAGGCTCACTGTGGAAATGCCGTGACGCGGTCGCTGGGAGAAGTCAATGTTTTGCAAAGGACCTCCAGCGCTGTGGCTTCGAGTCAAAGAGACATTCCGCTTTGATAAGCTGCTAGGCGCTGATGACATTTTCACAGTTGGGACGTCTCCACTGGCTTTCTTTATTTTATCACTTGAAAAAAGGAAGAAATGCTGTGTTAATATCTGTAGAGGTGGTATTATTTACAATGAATTTTGAATCTAATACAAATATCTGAAATGAACCAGTACCACCTTTTAGTAATTGAAGTTATGGCTAGAAGGACAGCTCAATAATAAAGCGACTGCCTGGTAAGCATGAGGCCCCGAGCTCAGCCCCAGCACAGCTTCACACCCTCAAGAAGAAACTGCATGTTTTTCTAACACGTTCATAAAGCTGATCCAGAACAAATGGACTGGATGACTGGTGAGGGGTAGGAAGAGAACACATGGTATAACATAAAAGATTACGTGCCTGTTCAGCTGCTTTACTGAAACATTATTCCATTTTTATTCAATAAAACCATCCAGAAGTACTGGTACATGCAGTGAGTAGAGCGTGTTCTCTGATGCCGAGCTAGCATGCTACTCACTTGAGGACAGAGACCAGGTCTCATTTATTTTATTTTTAGTGCCAAATGTGATGCTCAGCACACAAATAGGCTCTCAAGAAATGTGAGATTCAACCAGCCAAAGGAGTACAATATATACTTGGCACAAAAGAGAACGTCTCTGAAAACTGGAGATGACTACACAAGGACAAAGTACTTTTTTACTGCTGAGAAGTTCAGTTTGTAACACATCACTGTAAAATATCTGACTTGGTTCAAAAATGTTTTATGAAGCCAGGTATAGTGGTACATGCATGCAGTCCCAGCCTTCCGGGAGACAAAGGCAGGAGGACTGTCAGTTTAGCCCAGATTGGGCAAATTAGTGAGTTTGTGAGACACCTCAAAAGTAAAAAAATGAAAATGGCCGAGTTGGTAGCTCAGTGCAAAGACCTTTGGTTTAATCCCTTTTATCAGACTCATTCATTAGATATTAAAATACTATGTTATAGTAAAATATCAAGATTAAATCTCTCAAATGCTAAAACCCATGCCTACAGGAGTCTGGTCAATTTTATGAGGATTTTAACATTTGTATCAGAATACCTAATTCATTATAATAAAGAGTTATCTGCATTTGAGGGTACCTCGATTCAACTGCGCAGCCTGCCTCTTCAGTTATAGTCTCATTATATTTTGGGAATTCCATAAAGTTAATCAAGTCAGGCTCTTCCAAACTGCATACAGGCTTATGCTCCAAGGGTTCAGCTGCCAGTGGAATGCTGGCACTTTGCAAACTGTCCCCAGAGGTACTTGGCTTCAAGAAAAAGCTAAATATGGGGCAAGGAAGGGGGAAAAGTCATTACTATGTTATGGTAAAACAGTCATTAATGAATTAAGCAACTCATAAACAGAAATACTGCTTGTTTGAAACATATACACACTTATGCTCTTAATTCCTCTCACCTCCTATACTTAAAGACTTTCAAAGGATTGAGCTAAAGTAGTATAGTATGACTGTTTCAGTACTGGAGAACTGTTAAAGAAAGCTATAAAGGAAGAAGGAAAAGCAAAATATTTTATTAATTCCCTAAGTAGGGAGAGAGAGAGAGAGAGAGAGAGAGAGAGAGAGAGAGAGAGAGAGAGAGACAGAGACAGAGAGAGAGACAGACGGACGGACGTGGGAGAGGAGGGAGAAGGGGAAAAGAACAAAAAGGAAAAAAGAAAAGAAAGAAGAAAGGGGGCAGGCAACAGCACCATTTTAAAATGCCAGCCTGTAACTGTGTGTGATACCCTTTTCTCTTGGTTATAAATCTCTAGCTTGTCTAGTCATTTACTTGCATCTTTTCTTCCTCTCTCTCTGGATACAGACTTAGTGAGGGTAGGGCTCCACAAGGTGTATTTGAGAATTGTCTGAGATTATGGTACTGTCACGAATCTTGGTAAGGGCTTGATTTGCACAAATGTATGCATTCACTTTTCAAAATGGTGTGTTTAGGGTTTGTACATTTTGCTGTATAGAACACTCACCTGCAATTAATCGTATGCATGCTGAAGTCTTTGGGAGAGCAATACCTTCACTTACTTTTGTTGCTCTGAGACAGGGTTTCCCAAGGTAGCCTCTATCCCCTGAGCAGCCTAGCCCAAGTCCACTCTCCAACTCACAACACTCCCAGCCTCCCCAGTGCTGAGAACAGAGGGCTTCAACTTACTCTTTAAACTCTTTAGTAAGTTGTACCAGGCTTCAACTATTTAATCAATAAAAATAAGGGCTCAGCAGTTTAAGAGCCTGCCTGGCAAATGCAAAGACCAGGTTTGATCCCCAGTACCACATGTTCTGCTAGCCCTGGAACCCCAGACATGCCACCAAAACTGGGTGTGGTGGTACATGCCTGTAATCCCAGCGCTGGGGGAGGCTGAGACAGGAGGATCATTACGAGTCTGAGTTATGAATCGGAACTGTGCAGCAAGACCCTGTATCAAATAAATAAACAAGCTGCTAAAAGATGAAGAAACAGGGGGCTGGAGAGATGGCTCAGTGGTCTAAGGCAACTACTTAGAACAAGCTTGGCAAAGCATCAGGGACCG